GGTTGTTTTAAGAAAAATACAAATATTGGTTAACTGCACATGTTATGTAACATGCAAAAACATTTTTTTGATTAATTTTCAACGAATTTCAGAATTTTCAGAAAAAAAACTTACTACAAAAAACATAGTTTCAACCCTTAAAATATAGGAGATGTAACCCTGACTGTAAAATATTTCTTAAATTATAAGTACTTTTTGATGGGAACAATTTTCATACAATTTTTTTGAAAAATATTGAGTTTAAAAGAAAATATTACAGAATATGTGTTTTAAGGGTAAAAACTTAAGGGTAGATTTCACCCCTTAACAACCATTCTCCGCCAATAAAAAAAACATGTGTTATTTATTTTTTGATTCTCTACCACTATGCAAAGTTTCATCAAAATCGGTGACTGACACTTGGGTAGGTTTACTTGTCAGACAACAGTTTCTCAGAAATTAGATGACTTAAATACCTCTCTCTCTCTAGATCCTTGCAAAACGGAAAATGTGTGTGGTCCGAATGCTATCTGCAATTGCTTTGATCATGCTACTACTTGTACTTGTCCAGTTGGCTTCCAAGGTAATCCAACTGCTCAACAAGGTTGCGTTCGAGTACCAAATAGCTGCAAAAGTATTAGCGATTGTTCCAACCAACACCTTTGCGTATCAGGACAATGCCAACTCAAATGCAAAGAACACAACAGTTGTGCTCAAGGTGAACGTTGTCATAACGAAATTTGTATAAAACTTTGTTATGGTGATAGTAACTGCTTACCTGGTGAACTTTGTGTTGACGGAAAATGTGAAATTGGATGTACTTCAGATACTGGCTGTAATACTGACAAAGTCTGTATTAATAACAAGTGCAGGTTAATATGCTAATCAACTCAGAGAAAATAACTTATGATTTTGTACCTGAATGCAATTTATTAAAAATTAACTTTTTTTCAAATAGATGTGCTCAGGGATTCTTAAAAAATTTAGAGAAATGTTTTGATATTGATGAGTGTGAGGACAATCCTTGCCATCCATCAGCAAAATGCATAAATCTACATGGGAGCTATAGATGTGTCTGTCCCACTGGTTTAGCTGGTGATCCTGTAGAAACAGGTTGTTCTACACCATACCAATGTAAGACTGATCAAGATTGCCCTGATACACAAGCATGTGTAAAGCATAGTTGCGCTGATACATGCTCTTTTGCCGATTGTGGCGCTAATGCTATATGTTCTGTGATCGATCACGTCGCTACCTGCCAATGTCAACCTGGTTATATTGGCGATGCTTCTGGATGCTTTAAAGTTGAATGTTCATCAAATAATGACTGTCCTACTGACAAGTATTGCAACATTGATACGAATAAATGTACAAGTAAGAACTATTTATATAATATTTAACGTTTGACATTTTTCTATTTGTTCTTATGGCTTATTTACATATTTAAATTGAAAACTTAAGAAAAAATTTTTTGATGGAAAATATTAAATTTTTCTTTCATGATCGTTAATGCATATTCAAATCATATGTACAACTACGATTTCAATTACGTTAAAACGAATAAAAAAACATTTTTTTATAGGTCCTTGTAATCAAATTAATTGTGGCTACGGAAATTGTATAACAGCAAATCATGACGCAATATGTAAATGTTACGAGGGATATGAACTTATTGGAGTATCCTGCGTTGATATCAATGAATGTTTACAAAAACCTTGTCATAATACTGCCACGTACGTTCAACATTGCCAAAGAATTATTTATTCACTAATGATTAAAACATGATGGTGATATCTTTTGTTTTAGTTGTCACAATAATGAAGGCTCGTTTACTTGTTCATGCCCTCATGGATTAGTTGGAGATCCATTCAAACAAGGATGCAAACAGCCAGGTGACTGTTTTACAGATACTGATTGTCCTAATACTGCAGCTTGTATAGATAATACTTGTCGTGATCCATGCTCCATTTCTGAAACCTGTGGTCACAACGCTGAATGCCAAATGCATGACCACACACCAACTTGTAAATGTCCTGGACAGACTTTTGGAAATCCTAAAATAGAGTGCATACAATTTGAATGTAATCACCACAGTGAATGTGGACCATCTAGTACTTGTTATGATCACAAGTGTATAGATCCATGCTCTGTACCAAATGCTTGTGGAATCGGGGCAGACTGTTCTCCACTTAATCATAGTTATGTTTGTACTTGTCAACCTGGAGGTACCGGAGATCCAAATCTCGGGTGTACGCCAGTGCAATATTGCAAAGTTGACCATCAGTGTCCAATTGGATCCTCTTGTAATGGCGGAATATGTACGGCGTTATGTACAAGTACTAGGGATTGTATTGGTGATCAATTATGTATAAGAGGTTTGTGTCAACCAACCTGCAGACATAACTCAAGTTGTCCAGAATATCAATACTGTTTAAATAATATTTGTGTACAAGAGCATCGTTGTCTCTCCGATAGTGAATGTAATCAGGATGAGAAATGTATTAATAATAACGTAGGGCAAGTGAGTAGTAAAATATTAGTATTTGTAAGATATTATTTAAAGTTGCATACATTTTTAGCATATTTATTTCGGTTATAATTTATTTAAATGATTTTTTTAGTCGGAATGTCAAAAAGCATGTAATTTGATCCTTTGTGGTCGAAATTCTGAATGTAAAGCAGAAACCCACGATGCGTATTGTTCCTGCAAAAAAGGATTTTTCGGTGATCCTAAAAATGACAAAATTGGATGCCAGCCTATTGAATGTAGTTCACATGAAGATTGTACTGATGAAAAATTATGCGAATCACACAGATGCCGAATCGCTTGCCTTGCACGCAATCCTTGTGGAAAGCATGCTATTTGCTCTGCTAAACATCATTCACAAATATGCAGTTGTCAACCTGGTTATACTGGTGATGCCACAGAAGGGTGCTATCTGATTGATCATTGCGCTGTATTACCATGTGCACCAGGTGCGGTCTGTGAAAATTCACGAGGAACATTTAGGTGCCAGTGCAAACAAGGAACTGTTGGAGATCCATATAATAGTGGCTGCCATGAGCCAGAAAAGTGTCTAATTGACGAAGACTGTCCACTTTCAGCAAAGTGTGTGAACATAAATAATCGACACAAATGTTTTGGTACGTATATAATCTTGCCTTGGATATTAGGGTCATACAAAGAATGGAAATTAAGTATTCTATTTACACTAAAATCACAGATGTTTGTGCTGATTTACAATGTGGACCAAATTCGGATTGTGTCACCAATGATCATGGGGGAGATTGTCAGTGTTTAGTTGATTATGAAGGAGACGCTCATGATTTGATCATTGGTTGCAGGCCTAAGCCAAAGTATTGCACGTCATCGGCCGAATGCGTTGGAAATTGTTATGAAAATATTTGTCGACGTAAGAGCATTATTTATATATTACTGGAATAAAACTATATCAATACATGTAATAACTAATAACAACGTTTCATTGAAGCACCCTGTAATTCAAATGAAGAATGTAATTTATCAGATATTTGTTCGAACGGTGAATGTTTAGATCCATGCAAATTAAGAAATGCGTGTGGAATCAATGCATATTGTCAAGTAAAAAATCACATGAAACATTGTAGTTGTCCACCAAACTTTACAGGAAATTCAGAGCACGAATGTGTAAGATGTAAGTTGTTCAATAATTACTATAAAAAATTTATATTCTAAACATTCATACTTATGGTTAAAACTTTTCTTTATAGTACCTGTATCTTGTAGCAATATGGATGATTGTAATCAAGGTAATACATGTCGTAATAACGTTTGTCTACCAACTTGTTTAAATGACAGTGAATGCGCGTACAATGAAAAGTGCATGGGTGGAAACTGTCTTTTAACTTGTAAAGTTAACAACGATTGTTTCCTTGGTGATATTTGTCTCGAAAGTATTTGCACAGATGGTTGCATTGGTGATGAAGACTGCAATTCTAATCAAGCTTGCGTGGCTAACAAATGTGCCAATCCGTGTGAAGTAACACCATGTGGACCTAATGCAAAATGCACAGTTATCAATCAACGAGCAATTTGTTCATGTTCAATAGGCTTTATACCAAACCCTACAGCTAAAATTGCATGTTTGAGAGCACCAGGACCCAGTTGCCTTGCTAACAGGGACTGTTCACCTGGTTTTTCTTGTATTGCCAACTACTGTAAACCTGTATGCTCCTCTAACTCTAATTGCTTAAGTAATGAACGCTGTGAATCTGGAATATGTAGAGCTCTATGTAGAAAAGATGAAGATTGTCGAAGTGGCGAAATATGTGAAGGTTTAATGTGCACGAGTGGTTGTCGATCTGATATTGAATGTCAAGACAATTTTGGCTGCTTTAATAATCAATGCACAGGTAATAAGGTTTCTACAACTTTTTTTTATTAAAAATTAATTTTATAGAATTGAATCTAAATTGTTAAACTGTTAAAATAAAAAAAAATTATGATAATAAATGAATATTCCTAACAGATTTATGTTCCCTCACTAACGCTTGTGGAACAAATGCTCAATGTACTGTATCGAATCACATCAAACTGTGCAGCTGTCCTGCACCACTAATTGGAGATCCGCTTAACAATTGTAAACAATCTTTTCTACCGTGCTCATTAGATTCTGAATGCTTACCTGGACAGATATGTTACGGAAATTCTTGTTATACAACTTGTCGAAGTGAATCTAATTGCATGAATGACGAACATTGTGATAATGGTGTATGCAAATTAATATGTAACAGTGATGCAGAGTGCTCCGTTAATGAAGTATGTCAGAACCGACTGTGTGATATTGGATGCCGAAGTGATAATTCGTGTTCATCTGACGAATCTTGTATTAACAATAAATGTAAAAGTAAGTAAAATAGCTACTGTTTACAATAGTTTTAAATAAATCATACGTTTGCAATTAGAATCTAGCATAAAATATTTCATTTTTAGATCCCTGTGAAGGTGGAAGAGCTTGCGGAGAATGTGCTGGCTGTCGTGTTGTAAATCATACTGCGCAATGCAGCTGCCCACAAAACTATTACGGCAACGCCTTAATTAGTTGTGCAAAAACTATGACTTCATGTGATGGGTCGTGTGAATGTGATGAAACAGGTTTTTGCGTGAATAGTTGCCTAGCACAAGATAATTGTTCTTGTGGGGAACACTGTCATGAAGGAAAATGTCGTGTTAAATGTGACGTTAACAACGAATGCCCTAAGGTTAGTATATTTTAAAAAACTATTCTAGTAACCAAAGTATAATGGACTCTACCATTAAAAAGCTAAAAAAATTGTTTAAACTTTATAGTACGCTGACTCGCATATGACGTATATTTCTTTTAAAAGCTTATTTTTCTTTAAATTACTAAATAACTGATTATTCTAGGGTTACTTTTGCAATGGAGGTTTGTGCCTGATTGGCTGTCGCAGCCACTCTGATTGTCCAGCCGTTTTGTCGTGCACAAACGGCCAGTGCACTGATCCATGCGCTTCAAGCCACTCGCCATGTGGCATAAATGCATTATGTAAAATTTCAAACCATAGAACTGTATGTCTATGTCCGGATGGTTTTCAAGGCGAACCTAGCAAAGAATGTTATCAACTTGAATGTCATGACGATGAAGACTGTGAGTCAAATAAACAATGTAGCGAGTCTGGTGTCTGTACTAATCCATGCTTACAACACGGAGTATGTGGTTTTAACGCCCAATGCCGCGTTGTTGATCGCAAAGCAGAATGTTCATGTCCTCCAGGGCACTTTGGGAATTCAAAAATAAACTGTAAAAAAGGTATTTTATCAATTCATTTGATATTCATAAACAAGTTTTTAATACTTAAGACAAATATTCAGCTTATTATTTCTAAAAATAAATTTCCTCCAATTTCAGGTGGGGACGAATGTTTGAGACGGCCATGTGGTAACAACGCAAAATGTAGAGAAACATCAAGTGGTTTTGAATGTATTTGTGAACCTGGTTGTAATGGAAATGCTTATGAAGGATGTACTTGCGATATTTGCAAGGACGCAAAATGTGGAATTAACTCTGTGTGCCGTGTACATCAAAATCAACCACAGTGCTTTTGCCCTCCAAATTATCCATCTGGAGATCCTCACCATGTTTGTAAGTAAAGAATAATGAGTTAGATATCATGAAAGTTAAAACCATTTATCACTTAAAGCAAAATAGAAAAAATCTTATAACTGTGATATAAATTTGAATGTTAGGTAAACCAGAAAAATCTGCTCCTGATTGTCGAACAGTTGGTTGTGGGAAAAATGCAGAATGCATACGTGATGGCACTCTTTTTGTATGCAGATGTCCTCCTGGTACAACTGGATCCCCAGATATTGAGTGCACGACAGGTAAGATATGCAACAACTCATTTAAGCCCAACAGCATTAGTTTCTAAACTCTTACATGTGCATAAACTGTGACTAGTATATCGAAAATAAAAAATGGATATTCATTAGCATTAATCAAAAAAAAAAACGCCAGAAAATATCGCTCTGTCGAAAATAACCATTGTATTTCGTTAAAAGTAGCCACTGCTACAACATTTTATAATTTAATTTAATGCGTTCAATTGTTAACAATGAGAGATAGATGTGATTGGAGCTAATGTAAATCTAATGTTCTGCACATACAAACTCATTGCACTATTTGCGAATAAAAAAAAAGTCACTCATTTGTATATATACGCAAAAAAATTGCATTTCAATATAAACATATACTGTAAATAGTTTAAATACAATCCTCTAAAATTCATTTGACACGTTTATACACATGCAGAATGTTTATTTCAGTATCCAATCTGTTTTTTTTTCATTTAGTTTCGTGTGTTACATTTTTTTTTCTTTTTTTTTTTTTTTTTTTTTTTTTTTTTTTTTTTTTTTTTCTTAACTTTTTATTTAAAGTACCTTTCTAAAATAGGGTACACCCAGCTACACCCAGCTAACATGATACCTCTCTCCGGTTTTAGGTTTAAGCGTTTTGAAAATAACAGATTGGGAGCTGCAAAAGGGACATTCTCATATACCCATGCTTGATTACTACTGAAATGTTTTATGTCAGAGCTTGTTTTTTTTTCACGTACATTTTTCTGTATCTATACGTAAAATTTCTAATGGCTTTATGTAAATATTGCAGCTAGAATTGATTTTATTTTTCTTTTAATATTTAATCTCTAGATTAAAATGTTTTATAAAAGACCGTCCATGAATCATGATATGTTTCTTGAGTTTCCTGTTATTTACTTAAACAGCTAACTAAATCATGTCTGAAATTTATATTCGGAAACAACTAGATAAAAATAAATATGGATCATTTTACAAAAAATGTGATATTCCATGAAGCCTATGTTTAAAAATAACGGGTCGAATTATTTCGTGTTCTAACTTTTTTTAAACAGTGTAAACCAATTTTTCCTAAATGCATTTTTGAGATCGTATCAAAAAACTTTCCTTTGAAAGTGCGGAAACGCACATTTAACCTGTACAAAGTTCTCCCGTTCCCGACTATATATAGGAAAACAAGAAGGGTTTCGGTAAGGTTAAATGTGCGTTTTCGCACTTTCAAAGGAAAGTTTTAAGCTGCAAAAGACTAATTGAGTTGAGAAGAAATAGCTAAGATATCATCATCTCCTGAAAAACATATTATTTAAAAGCTTTTGTCTAATTACAATCGTTGAACGTTTAAAAAAAATAATAACAAAATTGCACCCATAAGACCTGTCTTATTTTTCTCCCAGTTGGCTATATAATTATATCACGAGAGTCACTTGACCTTTTGAAATCCCAATAGCACATTACGGGCGTGGTCATCATACATAAAATCTTTTTTACCGTAGCTTCAGTTTGTGTCTATCAATTTTGTAAGTCTGAAATATCTTGCTACAATTCTATGATAATGCAAAGATCTATTTCCAAACAAAGCATGTGGTTATTTGTTTACTTTGAGAACGTTTCCTTTCACAGTTCTCATGTAAGCTTTTATTCTTTTGATTTTAATTTTTTGATATCCTATGAATTTTCCCAACACCCATCACAATGACATCCAACGAAACTGTATTCTATGGAAACGAATGAAATGATATCAACGAAAATGAAAAAAATACTGGAAATCAAAATGACGACGAAAATCATGAAAATTAAACAAATACCAATCAACTCAGAACAAGAGTGCACAAGTGACACCGAGTGCCTGAGCGAAAAAGCTTGCATAAACGCCCAGTGCCTGGACCCATGCACTCTGCGTGGGGCCTGTGGTATCAATTCCCTGTGCCACGTTGTCCTGCACAAGCCGCGCTGCTCATGTCCGCAGTGCTATATCGGTATGCCACAGACAGCCTGCAACCCCGACCCCAGATGCGACTCGATCAGCTCGCGGCCGCAGATCCCGAGTATCGGTTGTTCATCGGATAACGATTGCTCAGCCGGGCTGGCCTGTCACGCACAGACACGTGAGTGTCGTGACCCATGT